GATGTATTCTGATGTTTTATGGGTGCAACAAATTACATCGTGATGAACTTTGATTCTAATGTAACGTTTGGTTCTGTTGTCATTGGATGTATTCTGATGCTTTATGCGTGCAACAAATTACATCGTGATGAACTTTTAATCTAATGTAACGTTAGGTTCTGTTGTCATTTGATGTATTCTGATGTTTTATGGGTGCAACAAATTACATCGTGATGAACTTTGATTCTAATGTAACGTTTGGTTCTGTTGTCATTGGATGTATTCTGATGCTTTATGCGTGCAACAAATTACATCGTGATGAAGTTTGATTCTAATGTAACGTTTGGTTCTGTTGTCATTGGATGTATTCTGATGCTTTATGCGTGCAACAAATTACATCGTGATGAAGTTTGATTCTAATGTAACGTTAGGTTCTGTTGTCATTGGATGTATTCTGATGTCAAATTTGACATCGTCAAGACGTTTGATTCTGATGTAACGTTTGAGGCTAATGTATTTTTATGTACTTGGACGTCACACTGAAGTCTGAATACATTAAGGGTACAGCAATACACGTTAAAATTTAATGTATTGAAGATGTCTGCTGATGTTTCCTACATTACAATTTCTATTCGGGCGAAGTCGATTTGATTCTAACTAGTTTTCAATCCGACATGTAGGCTTTCTCAGATCGGGATTTTCCGCTGCCGCTGCCGTTCCGCTTCCGCTGTCATTGCGCTTGGGCCTTGAGGGTGGTTTCTGTGTTGCAATTATTTGACAACCGTTATAACATGTTATAACTCTCCAGTCTGGACAGCGTTTTATCAACCGGTGAACACCCGTGTTTATTTCAGTTACCATGTGGACGTAATTTGTGTTGAGCCCCGGTCCCTTTAAAATTGTATCATTTTTTATGTACGGTCCATATATTTGAAATGACGTTTCACATTCATCTAGTGATGGCCGATTTTCATTCGAATTATCGATTAATCGATTAACGAACCGAAAAGTAAAATATTTGTAATTGGTTATATCATGCCGATATAAGCATTAACTTCTCCAGAGGATCATCACCGATCCTTTCAAACATGTGATGCACTCTCATTGGTGGAAAATGGCAGCACAGTGAACAAAAAAAAATCGATTGGTTGTTAATCGAGTAATTAAAAAATGGGACACCTCTGATTTTGGTATGTTTGTTTTGATAAAAAAGCTGTTATTGCGCTTGGGCCTTCAAGATTGGGTCCGCTTGTTTTCTGACGAACGTCAGTTTGCTCGTTTGTTTTTAAAACTTGGCTCAGGTTGAGGTTCGAACTGACAAAAAGTTCGGTTATCTGTCCCAGAAAATATCAAAACTAATTCCAGATTCCCTTCACTCTCTGGAATTTATATATAAATTCCAGAGAGTGATACCATAGAGGTAACTCTAAAACGCTGTCCAGACTGGAGAGTTATAACATGTTATAACGGTTGTCAAATAATTGCAACACAGAAACGACCATCAAGATAGCGCTATAACATGTTATAACTCTGTAGTCTGAACGTACTATAAGACCAGAAGGTCCCAAAGAAACGTGCTCAACTTTTTGGCTCAACTCTGGTACTATCTTCGGTCCCAAGCTAATCGATTCATCCCTCGAAACATAGGAAAATCCACTAACCCCTCATTTTATCTGTCAAACTTTCATAGCGAATCAAAACAAACATACACACAAAACACAAAAATTGTATCTTTAAAAATTTTAACATTTCAAATTAACAGCTTCTCAAATTTGGTAGTTTTAACTACGAATATTTTCAAAATTAATTGTTCTTCTTTGGTTTGAAAGTTTTTCTTTCACTATCGACATGGTATTTTAAAAGTTCATACTTTTAAAACAAAAATTATACAACTGTCAAAATCACCTCTTGAAAAGCTCATTGTCATGGTCCAAAAATCCAATAGGGCATATAGTATGAGAATCAAACCGCAGAAAATTAATCGTGCATCGTGCAGTTCCGGGAACCGATTCCGGTACCGGAGGTAATGAGAAAGAGTAAAGTTTTCGCAGAAGGTAATACCATAGAGGTAACTCTAAGACCACTGGGTCCCGAAGAAAATCATTATTATTTTTGGCTCACTCAGTACCAGAACAACGGTCCCAAGCAGTCCCAAGCTATTTCACTCACCCCTGCATGTTCTGCATGAATCCACACACCCCTGATGTTATCTGTCAAACTTTCATAGCGAATCAAAACAAACATAGTGTAGTAATAGAATTTCAACTAGAATAGGGTACGTTAATCGTTTCCTTGTGACCAATAGGCTACTAAAGTGGTGAGCCAATTTAAAATCGTTAGTTTCGTATTGATTGTTGGTAATACCCCGTTCACATTACAGCGTATATCACGTGATATACGCTGTCTTGCAACGAGCACTCATACATCTAGTTTTCACTGGAAGTCCTATGTATGAGTGCTCATTGCAAGACAGCCTATATTACGTGATATAAGCCATAGTCTGTCCAGGGTATAAGATTGCAACAGATATTTCGAGAGTGGTTTTGAAAAACTAAATGATTATTTTCCAGATCGCCATCATATTGGGACCACAGACAAACAGACGTAACTCTTCATTGTGTATCTTCGTTCACGCATTTAACGGTTGATTTGAATATTATCAGTTCCGCGAACTACTCGCCGCAGCGCTGGCATCGGATCACTTTGACGTTTCTATATATTCTATAGAACTTTTATGCAATATTGTTTACGAGCTAGCGAGCAAGCTTGTTTTCCGCGAGAAGCCAGAGAGATGTCGCTACTGAGGTTATATGTTTTGAGATACTATGTTGTCAAGAACAAGTTTTTCAAAGAGTTACGTCTGTTTGTCTGTGTTGGGACGTTAGAGCACACTGCAGAGATTTTCGGTGGCTATCAATAGAGTTTGCAATGTATCGCTGGAGGGATTACAGATTCCGTTCGTTTCTATAAGATACTGGTAAGATTTAGTCGCACCAGGTTTCGCTGCTTATCGTCGGCCAGCAGTGTAAACAAGATGCACTTTCGTTCGACAAAAGTTCACTGCATGTTGGAGCCCCGTGTCTGGGAGAAAACCTTCACGAAAGCCATCCGCCAAAGAAAACATCCCTGATATTAACATCCTGATGTGAATGAAAAATAAAATATGTGTATATTAACAAAATATTTAAATAAATATAAATATTGGTTACGTTTCCTTTCATAAAAGCAATTAAATTAAAAATAATTCGTATTTGTGATGAAAACTTATACTAATTACGGTGAAATAGCCTTCTTTTGAAGCAAAACTTTTCCAACGTCAATCTAAAAGTATTTGGTTTTTAGTATGACAGTTCTACAATTCGATCAATTAATAATATGCTAAACTTTTGTTTTGACAGTTGGCTGACTTTCATTTTGAAAGTTAGATACTTTCTACCAAAAAGAACCAATGCAAACTTTTAATTCTATCAACGGTTTTTTTTAAATTTTATCAATGATTATTTTTTTTGTGTAGTGTAGTACTAGAATTTCGTCTACAATGGGGTACGTTAATCTATTTGCTTGGGACCAATAGGCTAGTCAAGTAGTGAGCCAATTTAAAATCTTCAGTTTCCACCGGTTGGTGATACCAACAATCAATACGAAACTAACGATTTTAAATTGGCTCACCACTTTAGTAGCCTACACGGATAGAAATCTCCTTATACCTTTTGGCAAATTTCCATTGCTGATTATTCATAAATTGTATAAGTCGACTAATAAGCAGACGCCTTGCAAAAAGTTAATAAAGATCATGTGTCAAATGAAATGTATAAGCGGTCACACATACCTTTTAAGCATTCTAATAGGACCTATGTGGTTTGTCTTATGGAATGTATAAGGCTGATGCTTTGGCTAAAATGTATAAGTGAAACACATGAATTAAATAATTGATTTTCGTTTCGTGTATTGGTCCCAAGCAAACGATTAACGTACCCTATACTAGTTGAAATTCTATTACTACACTATGTTTGTTTTGATTCGCTATGAAAGTTTGACAGATAACATCAGGGGTGTGTGGATTCATGCAGAACATGCAGGGGTGAGTGAAATAGCTTGGGACTGCTTGGGACCGTTGTTCTGGTACTGAGTGAGCCAAAAATAATAATGATTTTCTTCGGGACCCAGTGGTCTTAGAGTTACCTCTATGGTGATACCCCGTACAGACTATGGCTTATATCATGTAATATAGGCTGTCTTGCAATAAGCACTCATGCATCTAGTTTTCACTGGAAATCTTATGTATGAGTGCTCATTGCAAGACAGCCTATATTACATGATATAAGCCATAATATGTCCGGGGTATGAAGGGAATCTGGATTTAATTTAGTAACTACCCGTTAAAAAAAATCCAATAAAAATACAATGATTTTCATTGTCATCCCTAATAAAATTTGTATGGTTATTTTGCTTAACGACGTGTTTGGGGTATCATCCAAACCATTTGTGGAAAAGTTCGACAATTTGGGTTATCGTTCGTTTATGGTATTTTTTTTTATTAGGGATTGCAACCATGATATTTACTGTCAAAACATTGGACATTTTTGTCCATTACCATAAAATCACAACGAAATTCATGGTTCACAACAATGAAAATCATGGTATTTGAGAAATTTACAGTAAAAAAGGGGGATTGTTAAGCATGTTAACAATGTAAAAAAGTGATTTTTCTCGAACAAATTTGATCTCATCACACTAATTTTCGTTGTTTGAGCATTGTATCGTTAAAAATCAAAATCTATTTTTTCTCCCGTACAATAATTTAACAATGTTAATGTACTCAAAATTCAACAGTAAAAACCGAGGTAAAAACCATTGTAATTTCGTTGTTTTATTATAATTATTTTTTTTCGTGTATACAAGTAAGTTTTGATTTTTTTTTTCTGGCTGTATACCATCCTATTTGCATTTCCTATCCCTCATGCAAGCACGTCCCGCGCATCTCGTACATCAATCCACCCCTGCCGATGACAATACCCTGACAGCTGTCAACTCGCCAACATTGCTGCCAACGTACGAGCTGTCGCAACTGTTTCCTGTTCTTTTCAACCAAGTTCTCTCCGACGTATGTTGTGTCGATAAATAAACTATCGAGGTAAAATCGGTTTTCGCAACGGATTCCGCGACGAATCAGTGAGAAATTGACGCTGGTAACTAGTTCCTGTGATTGGAAATCGATTTACGTTGGAAAAGTGGTCCGATGTGCCGTAAAAGTGCTAATATTTGCGATCGGAAATTCGATGCTGTACGGCTGACTGGCTAGTGGTGGTGCTGCTGCTGATGCTGCTGTTGTTCCTATCGCTCAAGCTAGCTGTCAATTTCTTGTGTTCGTTCGCGGAACCTGGACATAACCTTTTCCGCAACTGTGGATTTATCCAGTTTTTTTTTTCGTTTCCCTTTTACGAGCTCGTAAGTGAAAGTTTTAACTTTTATTATCTCTTGATTTGTTTTTTTTTTTAGGAAGAATGGTCCGCATTAGTGTGCTAGCCGATGCGCTGAAGTGCATCAACAATGCCGAGAAGCGTGGTAAACGCCAGGTCCTGATCCGACCGAACAGCAAAGTCGTCATCAAGTTCCTGACCGTGATGATGAAGCATGGCTACATCGGAGAGTTCGAGATCGTCGACGATCACCGGTCCGGCAAGGTGGTGGTGAATCTGACCGGCCGTCTGAATAAGGCCGGTATCATCTCGCCCCGGTTCGACGTCAAGATGAACGATATCGAACGGTGGACCAATACGCTGCTGCCATCGCGTCAATTCGGGTGAGTGGTGATCCAATCTGCGATAATGCAATCATTGGTGATGGGATGTAAACAATAGAGTTCGGGAGAGGGGGTCGAGTTTTTGTAAAGGCGATTAAAAGTATGTTCGTTTGAAGGACCCTGAGAGGAGATCAGTAACTTGTGTCTTATCATAGATCATTATTTTCAGAAGAATAGTTGCGACAGTTTAGTAGCTGTAAACTGATGGAACAGTTGGTTTGATATCAATTTGACTAACAATTCCAACAGTGTTGTCTCTTTTTCTATGTTACGTGAAAAGAATGATTAAAACTGTATCGATTATCAAAGAATGCTGCATCGACGATAGAGTTCAACTGTTTTACGGTTATCTTTTTAAAATTGAAGATCATTGATTCATCAATGCTTCAATGTTTAAACTGGAACAAATTTACGAGCACCAGGATGACCAGCGGAATTATGTGTAACATTCGATCGATTTGAGAGTAAACATCTGCAGGGGCACCGAAGGGTATTGGAGTTTATTCTATCTGATCACAAATCTTCTAGAAGCACTCCATTATGTGGGGGAAGCAAACACTGTCTGCATTTAACATATCAGTGCCAACATTTCAAATGGGCGTAATTGCTTTTGTAAACAATTCTGTGCCAACATTTCAAAGGGGCGTAATTGCATTTGTAAACAATGGCTTTAGCCATCGATTTCTCGCGAATCAAAGCTCACTCATGAAAAATAATGACACCAGCAGGTATTGGAATGTTTCCTCTACCAGCTAGCATTGTAATTTTGGAGAGGTAAGATTTCATTCGCAAGAAATTGACGGCTAAAGTCATTGTTTACAAAAGCAATTACGCCCTTTGAAATGTTGGCACTGAATTGCTTTAGCTGTCGATTTCTCGCAACTAAAAGTTCACCCCTCCAAAATAACAACGCTAACTGGTAGAGGAAACATTCCTCTAACTGTTGGTGTCATTATTTTTCATGAGTGAGCATTTATTCGCGAGAAATCGACGGCTAAAGCCATTGTTTACAAATGCAATTACGTCCTTCGAAATGTTGGCCCTGATATCTTTCTACTGTATGAATGTTAGAATTTTAAGCAACATCGTGATAGTTGATTTAAGAATTCTGTAAAGTCCGTCCAAATGATTTAATGTTTGGAAGGCCATTCAGGGTACGTTCAAACTCAGTGGGACTACAATTGCATGACAGAAGATAATCAAGGTTGAATCAGAATCAGAATCAGATAAAAAAGAACTTCAGTCAAAGTCCATACGATTCAAGGGCTAGTCAAGTAACTACTCAGAGACTTGCTTGAACAATTCCAAATGTCCGCAAACTTCGAGCAGTTAAAATGACGTTTACTACCACTCGAATTTTGAAATATAACAATATTTTGGGAATTTTTCTTCTAGAATCACGAGACAAGTAGCCAACATTTGAGCTTTTGACAAGTTGGCAACATTTGAGCTTTTGACAAGTTGGCAACATTTGAGCTTGTTGACAAATTGGTCCATTTCAACAGCTGAACGTTCCTTAAAACTTCGGCACTCATTTGAAAAGTTGTTTTTCTCGTAGATGACCCTCGTGAAAATATCTAGTACCGAACTTACACTAAAGTTGTTCATGAGCTGTCTATAATTTTGAAGTGGAGACATGTCTGAAGATTTCAGGGCCAGTCCTCTGCTTGTATTTAGTTTTTTTTTAGAAATAAGTAATATGGATTTTAAAGGAAGGAAGGATGAAGAACTCGTCACACACACGATCATTGTCCAGCTAGCGGATTGGAGATTTATCTGGCCGTTTCGTACACTTTACGAGAAACTTCAAGGTTGTTCCCCTTAAAATATAGAGGTTCCTATAGGTTCAGTCACCGCCATCACGCTTTTCCTGTTACGGTTAAACGACCGCAACCTTCCTAAGGAAATCTTCATCTTCGTTTACGGTGCTGATATCGTCCAGATGGCTGCTGGCACCACAGTTAAAGCTCTACGCAGAAAACTGAAGGCTATCAGCGGGTCTTCCGTTCACCTTTCTTCGTCGACAGAAGTACCATGCTGTTCAAAAGGTCCGATCCAGGATTGATTTCTCACATTTGGGAGTTCAGATTGCAAACCAGGAACGACGTGCTGGGAACATTGTCCGATTCGTTAGGATACGTGTGGTCAAAGCGGTACTAGAATCAAAACTGACCGAAGGCATCGAGTTGATATAACTTGCGACCGATCAGATGGTGACCAAGCTGGAATATCTGGAAGCATTGGGGATGTCCTAGTGGATGATGATCCACAAGGACTGCTGTGCTATTTGGCTTTATGTGGGAAACGAATCCAAGTTGAACGATGACCGACAACCCTTAATTATCGTCAAACCTCTACAAGAAAAACCTGGACAAACTTCAATATCAAACCCATGCTCCGGCAACGACTATGACGCAATAATCAAGGACATAGCAAAACAATGCCGTAGCGTACAAGAATTACAATCATGGCACCAGACCCACGCGATGATAAAGAGACGAACCAGACGAACGCCTGAAAGTCTCTCTTATATAAAAAAAAGTTCCCTGGAGCTGTCTTCGAAAAACTCCATAGATGCCATCGAAGTTCTTTTGAGATGCCTCCAAGGTCCTGTCGAAAAACCATTGAGGCTCAATTGATTTTCATCTTCATCTTGGCTAAAACTTGTAGTTGGAGTCCAATGGAGTTCTCTTTACAAGTATTCAAGGTCTCTAAGCCCTTCCATTTTCTCGATGGGCATGGATGCACGAAACAAGAAGGCTAAGGCTGTCTTTCCCCCTTATTCTGCGAGTCACGTGACTCTCTGTCACCGGTGAGGTGACAATTGTCACCTCGTGTGAGGTGACTCTCCGTGCAAATCAAATGGGGAGTCACCTCACACGAGGTGATTATTGTCACCTCACCGGTGAGAGAGAGTCACGTGACTCGCAGAATAGGGGGTTTGTGATTTAACGAATTATATGGAGATCAAACCAGGTTTGATCAAAGCTCCAAAATAAAAATTGTAGGTCTTTGCACAATAAGAGACCTGTAACGTACTAGTGCGGTGTTACTCACAGCACTGATAAGACCCCCGTCTTCAAGCCTCAGTGTTGGCACACGCTCGTGACAATTCCGCGAACCAAGAAAACACTTACGCTCACTAAGGATAACACTCCCACTTTTTTCGCTTTTGGTTAACACTTTATGCAGACTGCCTCCTATCACTTCCCTCCCACTTCCTTACTGGTCTACTCCTACCTTGCGCTAGTATATTTATCTTCGCTGTCTTCGGCGACCCTTCACCTGCCACTGCCTTCGCCGACGCTTTACTCCTTCCGCTGGTCCTGCTTGTCCTCGTTGGCCAAGGGTGGTCGTTCTCCTTGACTACCTTCTTCTCGCTGTCCCGTGCGACCCTCCAATATGGTATCGGACTCGAGGCTTCAACGGTCCCGTGGAACAGTTGGCCTGCCTGGTTTCGAGGCGCACACGGTTAACTATGGGTGATCAGGTTAACGATCGTCGATTCAGACACACGAACGATGAACGGTATACCGTAAGCTTTACGGTGGAACCGCGAGGTCCTGTTGGCGCGATGGAGAATTCGAAATGGCGGTTAGTTAGGCATATGATCGGTTCTCAGTACCCAACGATCGAATGTGGTTCGGGGTTTTTTTTTGTGACGGTAATTACCTGGATATTCAACGGTCCGTGGCAACTTCCTCTACTGCTCCTATCTGTTTAACTCCACTCCGTACTTCGCTTTACTATCACTTGACTTTCGCCTATTTCCACTTGACTTTTCAGTACAGCTTTCTTGCGACTATCGTCTGCAAAGATCACCAGGCCTCTTGGTGAACAATGACCCCGAACCGTGGCCGTTGATCCGTCGTACTTACCTTACCAATCAGGCTAAGGCCTTGTTGTCCCCTGCTGTCCGAAGGAAGTCGTCTCCACTCTACTCGATCCATGGCCACACTTCGCCAGCCTCGTAGTCTGTGAAGGGTCCGCAAGTCGCCTTCTACTTGGTCGATCCACCTTGCCCGATGCGCGCCTCTTCTTCTTGTTCCTGTTGGGTCGCTTTCTAGAACCATTTTCACTGGGTCGTCGTGCGGCATTCTTACGACGTTCCCAGCCCACCGTAGTCTCCCATTTTTTGCAATGTGGACGATGGATGGTTCTCCCAGCAGCTGGTGCAATTCCTGGTTCATTCACCTCCTCCACGTTCCGTCATCCATCTGCACTCCACAACACCTTCTGTTCGAAAACACCAAGGGCGCGTTGGTCCTCCACGAGCATAGTCCAGGTCTTGTAGACAGTCAACTTCGTGCGGCGGCGTCCTCCGGAGTCCAAAGTAGGCACGATTCCCTGCCATAATGCGTCTTTGAATTTCTCTGCTGGTATCATTTTCGGTGGTCACCAGTGAGCCCAAATACACGAACTCATCAACCACCTCGATTTCGTCACCGTCAATCTGAACTCGGGGTGGGATGCTAACATTGTCTTCCCTAGAACCTCTTCCTTTCATGTATTTTGTCTTTGATGCGTTGGTGGCAAGTCCAATCCGCCTAGATTCAGCCTTCTGTCTGATGTGTGAGCACGTTGTATTCGCGGCATTTCTGCAGAACCTGCCGAATCGCGAAAATTTGATCCGTGGTAGCGCGGGCACCCCTGAATCCCGCCTGGTATTGCCCCACGAACTCTCTTGCAAATGGTGACAGGCGGTGGCATAGAATTTGATCCGTCGTACGTGCCACGATTCTCGACGCAATGGCCCCCATTACGTCACCCCTATGGCCGTCCATACATGACTGCACACAGCGGGGGTTATTCCGAGAGTTGAGAAAAGTCACGTCGTGGTGACGTGACTCTCTATTTGATTTGCACAGAGAGTCACGTCACCACGATGTGACTTTTCTCACTTCCCTAGTGTTAACAGTCACTTCGACTCTAGGAATAACCCCCAGCGTCCTCTGGCGATGGCTAGTGGCATTGTCCTACATTTTATAGGGCAGTGTCTCTTACTGGCTGCGTTCGTGGGGATTCTGGGACGTTTTACCTTTTACAAACATGTAAACCTTTTCTTGGATTGTAATAACAAAATATATGAAAACTACACGCGGTTAATCTCACCAATCTTTGACGCAACACTTACGCTTATTACAGACCTCCGGGGATCGGTCCGGAGCACTTAGTTGATGGGTTCAGAGGACTTCAAAGCCAGTTGGTGGTCTGAAATATTTCTGAAGCAGATTTGATAGGGTAGTCTCTGGAGACAGGTGTATTGCAATGGTAGTTGGAGGTCCAGAGGAATTTGAGAAACCACACTCGCTCTTGTATCCTGGGCACCTTCAGTGGCGCACAGCGTCAACTTGAAAGACCTACATCCTGCTGCGTGGCTGATTGCTTTAACCTGGGCCTAAGTCAAATTCCTATTGATTTGTTTGATTTCCTTATTAAGGTTCTGCCGCTATGAGCCCCAGGGTCTGCCTCTGTTGCGATGTCCTTCCGATTGGAACCAGCGCTTGCTTGCAGATTTGCAGAACAAATCCAGAATATTTTGGTTGTCAGGCTAGGAAGGCTTCAGAGGACTTTGAGGTTGCTCTATGAGACTTCAGGAGCTAGTTTGAGAATTCTTCAGGACTATCTACCGTGTCAGCACCATATTTGACGCGTTCCTAATGATGACGCATTCATCTATTTTTGATCGCATCTCGTCGATTTTGACAAGATATTTCAAAAAACTTTGTTACACCATCATCCCTAGAGCACTGGATTTAATATTTGCATAGCTAATAGTAACATTTCAAAAATAATGATTGAAAATAGTTCGAATATGGTGGCTCCACGGTACTTAATAATTCGAAAATTTCGGGAGTGTTCGCGCCGAACATCCATAATAAGTCGAGAACATTTCCAGGGCAGGTTCATGAAAAATTGGAACAGGTTCAGAGAAATGTGTGGTTTAATCCAATCTTCCCGGGTACGTTCCTAGCAAGTGCCTGATCTATCACAAGTCTCCTGAAATTAAACTTGTTAAGGTCAAAAGGTCTTGAAATCTCCTAAGCTTGTCTTCGAGATTCACTGCTTGTGAAATCCTGTGATTTTGCTCTGAAAGTTCTCTGAACTTTTATTTGACGAACTTGGAGTTGGAGAACAGGGTTGAGAGATTGCAGAAGACTTCAAAGCGAGTTCAAGGTATCCCCCCCTATTCTGCGAGTCACGTGACTCTCTCTCACCGGTGAGGTGACAATAGTCACCTCGTGTGAGGTGACTCTCCATTTGATTTGCATGGAGAGTCACCTCACACGAGGTGACAATTGTCACCTCACCGGTGAGAGAGAGTCACGTGACTCGCAGAATAAGGGGGATCGAGATTTTCAAAAACTGCGGATTCCGTACCCGGGTCTTGTCTAGAGCGTAGGGCACGCTAAAAAGGCTTCTGGGACTTTGCGGATGCATATTACGGATTTCAATCTGATGAGTTTCCTTAAATTCTAAAATAATTGTCTTCAAGGTCGTTCAGACTTGAGTTTGATTGAGTATTTTGAAGTCCACTTGTGCTTGTTTTTAAATTTTCTGGAAATTCCCAGAATTTATTTCTACATGTTGCCGTTTGAGTGCCCTAGAATTTGGTGGTTCGGGGTTTCTCGGGACGCCGAGGTCTAAAGGTCTAGGACATATTTAGGGGTCTACAGAGGACTTTTCGCGATGGGTTGGGATGACAGTTGTGATGAACTTCGGCAGGAGAAACATTAATGAGCGAAGATTCACTGGGTTTTCTAAGGTCTTTGAGGGTCTAAAGATAGCTCCAGGACCTTATCGGCGCTGATTTTCAGATTTTTTTTTATTGTATTGCTCATATTATCTTCTATATTCTTCCTAGAATTTATTATCTGCATTTGTTCTAACGGTCCTTTCGACTAACATCATCCAAAACCTTTTAAGTTTACTTTTATAACTCTACGGTTCTATCTTTAGACTTGTCCTAGAGAATGACCAAGTGATTCTTCTGGTCTTTTCCGCGAATTGCTGACGATTTGTGAGGATCTTTCCGGGGCTTCTTTGAATGTGAGCACGAGGTCTTCTAGATTTGGGGCCTCAGATAGGGTAGTCAGTTAAGGTCTACAACATCTTACGGGTTGGAAAGGTTTTCAACTCACCAGGGCATAGAGTATCATTGTGCATGGCACACACTAGATATACAATTACATGCCTTGGTTGACATAGGAAGCTGTCAATTAATAACTGTGGAAATGCTTTACACTTAATTTAGATAACCGAAGTCAGTAGAATTTGACCGGGTTTTTGAACAGCAGAACAAGTCGGTCACATTTTCTAATGACCCTAACACGTGAGAAATCAATAAAATTGACAAAATTATTCATAAATGGGGTAAACTGAACAAAGTCTGTTCAAGTTCGGAATAAATTTTCTAATTATTTGATTTTCATTGATTTAAAAAAAAAATTACCGAAGAGTTCTGTAGTTCAAAATTTACCGACCGGGGAAGGACTGGATTCTTCTTTTCGCTGCTCTCAAGTTAGTGTTCTAGGTGCACTTCCACAGTTATTATTTGAGAGCTTTCGACGCCTGTACAATTTTTGCATAAGTATAATTGTGTGGCAAGTACAATCATTTTTTAATACCCAGGGAAGTCGAGAAATTTTTCAACCGAAAAAATTTCTAGACCGGACCGGGAATCGAACCCAGCCACCTCCAGCATGGTTTTGCTTTGTAGCTGTGCCTTTACCGACTGAGCTAAGGGAGGCCTGGATTAGTGTGTTCAAAGAAAACTAAATGTAGAGTAACACTTTTAAGTTCGTAAGAATCGTCAAGATTTCTACCAGCCTCGTCTTTCCCTCTATTCTACAAATGATCTAGACTTCTCCTGAATATACTTATTTATGACTTATCACATCAGATTCCTTCAAACAGGATTGCCCATTGGGTCATCAGATCATTCTCTTATCGTTAAGATCCACAGAAATTATAAAACTGTTAATGGAACAAGCACAGGCAAACAGACATAACACATTGAATATTTCTCACTGTAAACATCGTCGCTAAAACATTACCGCCATCTGTTGAGTACACTGTGGTGAGCACTACACTGAACAGATGGCGGTAGTGTGTAAGCGTCAAACGCAAGGGAATGGACTATGCGCGCCACAGGTGGCGGTACTACCAACTACGATACTTTTAAATTATCCGTTAAATGCTTGTTTGATGAATAACTTCCGAGAGTTATGTCTGTTTGTCTGTGGAACAAGCATCTCAAAAACTACATCCAATTTCAAGATCTTAGAATATTTCCAACATTCTTTTTTCGTTAGTCAATATTCTGCCTTCTTACCTCGAATTGATAGCGCATCAAATCTTCGGCGCGCTATTGCTCACCTTAGGAGGCTAGAGAAAAGCTCTTCGGAGCGAAATCCACCATTAATCCCGTATTTGAGCCTAAAATCACTTGCGATTCAATGGATGGATACAGTCCCTATGCAATAAACATGGTTCTACAATTCCGTCACTCGTAGATTTACACGGTACTAACTTGTCTTTCTCTTTCTCTCTCTCTTTCTGAATTCCAGATACGTCGTGCTGACGACGAGCGGTGGCATCATGGACCACGAGGAAGCCAGACGGAAGCATCTGGGAGGCAAGATTCTAGGTTACTTCTTCTAAGTTTGTTGGGCGACAAAACGTTACACAATACAACAAGAGTAACTTGTTCAACATAAAAAAAAATAACATCCGTCAGTCCAAATTCCAAACACTCGGGAGATTTTTCTTTTCTTTTTTTCTCTCGTGCAACACAAGATAAAAAGAACTCCGCTAAACACCCGTTGATTGCGTTGTTTATCGGAAGAAAAGGAAATGAAGCGGTTAGGTGTGTTTATAAAAAAGGCAGAAATATAATGTGAAGTTTCACCTCAAGGGAAAGTGAAAAAATTAAAAGAAAAATCGAACTTGGATGGCTTTTCAGTGTGTTCGTATCCGAAAAATCCGTTTCTTACCATTCAGGCTAAGGTCTGCTGCTGCACACAAAAGTCGTCTCCATTCAACTCAATTCATGGCTGCACATTAGCAGGATAATCGTCGAAATCACGCACGAATTTGTCCTAAACAGTGACAATTAGAGGAGGGTGATGTTGAACTAGCTTAGTTCAAAGTTGGTGTCCTGAGTGCTCACGAAGCAGAGGTCCAAATTACGATTATTTTCGTTAAATACATGGTTAATTTGCGAAAGCGTTGCTGCGCTGTAGTTGTCGAGAAGGCTAATAGTTGCTGCGTGAAATTTAGAGCTATCAGGATCTGGATACAGGAATCTGCATGAGATGGACTCCACGAAACGCCTGGCAAATTGAAGTCACTCGAAATGTGAAAACTAACCGACAGTGTGTATCGATGAGTTCATTGTCCCGGACTCGATCAGGTGGAATGTACAGAGCACATAGAAATAGTGTTCGATCACCCAGATTGATGGCTGTCCAAACTGTCGTGACCGGACCGAGGTTTCCAGCCTCGGTCACGGCTACACAAATCCGCGATGCTGCTATTCCTGCAGCTGCTGCTGCTCCTCCATGCTCTTCAAAATTCGCCACAATAATCCCTTCAACGAGTAAGTAGTAAAATTTACGTTTATTTCCTGGCCTTTGGCTCTCCATCTTTTTTCTAGTTAATTGGTTATTCTAATGTGATGATTGTGTTTAGCGCTAATTTACAGGATACCCTTTATGGGATTGTTTTGGTTTGAATTTAAAAATTTGATAACCTACTACCTACTTAAGCACAGGAACCTACCTAACTACTTAAACTAGGTTGCCAAATCACGAATGATCTGGTGGTTTGATCGCAGACAGGCGTCTCTCAACCTTTCCAGCGTGGAAGTCTTTCGCTCCTCGAGTGTTTGAAGACCGGCCAGGTGATGATCTCAGAATTACGAGTTCGCGGTGGACTGTTAAGGATCATTCTGAGGATCTTGTTTTGGATCCTCTGAAGCTTTAGGTGGTGGCACTTAGCACAACTCTCCCAGATTGGCATACCATACTCAATAGCCGGCAGAACGATCTGCTTGTGGACAGCAAGCTTGTTTTTGAGGGACAGCGTGGACTTCCTGTTTATCAGAGGGTAGAGCGACCTGATCAAGATGTTACACTTGGTGGATGTCTTGTCCACATGGGATCGGAATAGCAATTTTCTGGAGAGCTGGGTACTGGACTTCCGTGAGTACAGGAGGCGAACGATGATTACGGAGGCGGCCGAGCTGGTTGTTGATTGTAGCCTTCCGACGGATATTAATGAACTCCACTCGCTTGGGACATCCGCGATTGGAGGCTTGGTGGTTTCCACCGCAGTTGACGCACATTGGCTCTATGTCATCAACTTGCTCACAGGACGCAGTTGAGTGAGTTCCAGCACACTTGCCGCAGTTTTTGGTACCATGGCCATATCAGAGGCAGTTCATACACTGCGTAACATCACGATGTTGGGGTTTGTAATGCTCCCAACTGATGATGACCTGAAACAGGTCCCGGATTTTGGATCTCAGAGCCGCAAGACTGGTGGATCCCTTCGTGAAGTGCACCAGGAACGGTCACGGAAGCTGGTATTGTTGTTGGAACGCCGGATTATCTGGAACACGCAGTCGCCTCAAACTACGGTAAACAACGCAAAACCACCTTCACTGGCTTGCTCAATGGCAGATCTTGCGTGAAGAAGTCCACGTTGTTGTCCTCAGGAAACATCCTATTTGTTTGTACTCCTCCATGCTGGAGCACATGATTTTATTACCAATGCTGCAAAGCTTGAAGCGAGACAGCAGCTTGTGTTTTGCCAGTTCGGCATCTAGCTTGGCAACATCCTTCACCGGCGTGAAATGCGGGGAATCCTTCTTTGAAGGGCCCGCTGCTGTCTCATTGGCACGTTTACGCACCATTTGTTTCGTGTTTGCAAGTTCAAGTAAACTTGCCAGAACTCGAGAAGGTGGCGACACTTCCACGACGCAACGCGACAGCACAAAACGAGATCTCGAGCGAAAATACGGACTTGAACAGCTCAACAGTCGAGCAAAGAATCCCTTCAACGAGCTTAGGTATCTCATATTTATACCTGCTAACCTATCAAAATTCTCTAACGAATGAGATTACGTTAACATCAAGGGGGAGGTGGCTGTCAAATACGAACAATCGTCGTCTACCTCGCATAACTGGTTCCAATCGTAAACAAACCATAAGAAACCTACAGGGTTTGTTTACGTTTGCAACCAATTTCATAGACGAGTGCACGGATGGATTTGAGTTCACTCACTCGACAAAAAGTGACACAACAGAGGGGCCCTGTTTACTAAAAATGAACACATGAATAATACTCACGTAACATTTGAAACCGGCCTATCAACTTTCGTACACAAAACTTGTTAAGCCTTTTTCGCGCGAACCGAATACGCCCACGCAAACTAACAACACCATCGGGTAGGGGAAATTCTCCCCTTCCCGATAGTGCTCTTGGTTTGCGTGGGCGTACTTCGGTTCTCGTGAAAACGACCTAGCAAATTATTTACAAAAGTTGATAGGCCCTCTTCAAATGTTACGTGAGCGTTCATTTGTTCATTTTTAGTAAACAGGGCCCTGCTGTTGTGTCAAATTTTTTTCAGCAGATGAACAAAATTTCACCCGTCATTCGTCTATACAAGAATGATCAGTAGGCTGATTTGACAGCACGTCCCCCCCAGGTTTACATACGGACACAATACGCCTAAATGATGGGTGACGCCGCACGAACCCGAAGCCCACAAAGAGGGATGTAATTCTACTCAGAAGTAGCTTGAAATTCTGCTTTGTTTTCACAAAGAATTCGCCTCTCACCTTAACTGTGAACTATTTTCAGACTTACCTTAAAATTCCAATAATGTCCAAAGTTGATGGCCTTTAATAATTAAAATAGCAAGTTGGGCTTTTTATTTTTTATTAGAGTTTAAATCAATTGCAGTGATATTTTTAAAGCAGCATGTTTAAAGAATCTGGGAAAATCTGGAACATATTTAAAAAATCTGGAAAATCCAGATAAATCTGGAATACTGGCAACGCTGATACGGACTATCACCAACAATCAATACGAAACTAACGATTTTAAATTGGCTCACCACTTTAGTAGCCTATTGGTCCCAAGCAAACGATTAACGTACCCTATTCTAGTCGAAATTCTAGTACTACGCAATGTTTGTTTTGAGTCGCTATGAAAGTTTGACAGATAAAATGAGGGGTTATTGGTTTTTCCTATGTTTCGAGGGGTGATTCGACAAGCTTGGGACCGAAGATAGTACCAGAGGTGAGCCAAAAAGTTGAGCACGTTTCTTCGGGACCTACTTGTCTTAGAGTTACCTCTATGCTATCACGCTTCACGCTCACTCGATTCTACTCATTACATATTCAACACTAAAGGCCCAAACGCAATGTGGGCGGAAGCGGAACGGAAACGGAAAGTTTGACAGTTGTCACTAATGACATCAAGATGCCTAACCGAAGTCGATTTGGATCTAACTAGTTTTCAATCCGACAAGTAGGCTTACTCAGATCGGGCTTTTCCGCTGCCGTTGCCGTTCCGCTTCCGTCGTCATTGCGTTTGGGCCTTAACTCTATCTACTACACAAACCTGCTCCACGTTGTTCCATGAATCGTTCTCGATGGCCTTTGCCTCCAGCCCGACACGGACACCTCCACTAGTAGATTTACGGCTGTTCTTAAGATTCCGATAACAACAACGAAAGACCTCCTAGTCAGATTTGGCTGGAAAGCGTTCGAGAATCGAGCCACGTTTCACACAGGACAATTACATCGTAGTAACGATCAGATACAGCTAGGCGGTGCTCTTCAACATCAGAATTCATTCCAACGGCATTTGGTAGAAGATCACAACGTCCTGCTTAATGGGGTGTTTACATCTGTGCGAATTTGCTAGCGCTAGTGTACTAGCCAACTAGCACGAATTTCAGTTGCTCCTGAAATCTCATGCTGGTAGACGCTGATGCCATGTTTACATTATGCTAGTGAGCTTTATTGCTAGCAGCTAGCTCATTAGCGCTAGTGAAATAACATAAGTGTAAACACACCATAAGGCGAGGAATCGAACGACTGTTCTCCCTTGGAATCACAGATACATCAGGCAATAACTGACCATCATCGAGTCTGATTGAATACTCGCCATAGTGAGTGGGTTGGAAGACCCCCTCTCCACATCCGACAGCAGGTCCGGAACGACTATGACGAACGAAGGCTACTGATGGCAGGACTAAGACGGAGGGATTGGGGGCTTTCTACGGCGCGTTCCGGGTTCCCATGATTGGGAGTTACAGAGGCATCATCACAATGACTAACATAGTCCGAATTGCTGAACATTTGATCGGCATCAGGCAGTGAATGCTCAACATATTGTCTGTAGTTGCCTGTAGAAGCAAGCTGGAAGACTCCTCCTGATCCATATCCAGCCACAGGTCCATGACGACTATGCTGAGCGCTGTCAGGAATCGGCACGACTGAATTGGAGGGACCAGGAGCTTCCAAAGAGCAGTCTATTGTGCGTCCCGGAGATGAATTAGGATTGTTCTAACAGTAAAGCGGATGTTGTGAATGAGTAGTATCAGAAGTGCTTCTCAATTGGAAACCGCCGGCAGATGCATGAGGCGTTGCACTGAAACACGGAAGCTGATCAGGAAAATTACTGTAACTAATGTATGCATACTAGAGAGGGTCTAGTATAAGAGAGCAGTGGATTCAAAATAAACTGCCGTGGCAACCTACACACTTAGAAAAATTCATGTAAATTTAGGTGCTCTGAGAGTGACATATACGAGCGTCAATTTTGACATAAATTTGAGTCATAACAGACGCGAAATAAACTTCAATCAAACGTACTTTTCGTCGAGCAATGAACTTTTCCGTCTCGGAGCACTTAATATTACACGACATGT